GACCGAATTAGAAACGTCTACTATGGCAATTGCCTAAGCGGATTTACCGAGATGTGTTGGTAGTGTGCCTGTTCTGGAAGCGATTAGTATTTTTTCCTTAAAAAAGGTTTTCGACTATCTTTCTAAAATTAAATTGCATAGATTTATGGAGCACATGTCAGAGTAATAGTGCCAGTCTCCTCTTACAACAGTCGCCATTCCTTAGCGCCCAGTTAACTGAAAAAAATCTCCACAACTTCGCAAACGGTACAATTGTTAAAAGTAACAGTGCTTATTGGCATTATTAACGGCTTCAAACAGAGATTTGGTCGAAATGGACAAAAATATTCAAAAAATGTATCAATGAACTTTTTAGGAAATTTTACGGAATTCGTCCGAGGCGCCTTCGCACCAAACCTTACTACAACTACCGAATTATTTTGCCAAATATGCACCGAGCCACCTACCACTTCCATCAGGCAACAAGCCCGGAAATACTGACCAAATTTCGCCCACGGAAGCGAAGATCATTAGTCAGCTGGTCTGTCCTGGTCGGTTCAGCCAATCAGCGATCCCCTCTTGCTATTGGCTGACGTGTCCGTAAGCGTCTGGCTGCTTCTTGTAACGCCATTGGTGACTGCGGCACTCGAATGCAAAATGTCAAAAGATTGCTTCCCATGCAGGTAGCATGGGATTGCGTTGCCTGATGGGCCAAATGGAGAGGCAAGAATGGAAAACATTTTGCAGACCGGGATTCTAAGAGATAGAGAGGAGGAAGGAGCACAACATTCTACAATGTTAAATTGAGACCTAATTTTGAGGCATATGGTTATGACTTCAAAGCCCTCCCAGAACCTTGTAACGAGGTGTATAAGGCTTGAACAACGTCCAAGAGATCTGGCAATGTGAAGAGTGTAAAAGACGTTCTTTCCATAGCAACATTATCAGCGTTGCATAGAGGACGTCCAGATAAGATTTGGTAGAGTAGGTGACCTAACTCATACAAAGTCCTGATCGAAGTTGGAGATGGTAGTTTAGCGTAAACTAAGTCTTTTTATTATGATCTGATGAGTGGATGTGATCCTCAGATAGCATTTTTATAAGGAAAAAGTATGTTTACTTCAAGTTATTTAGGGGAAATGAGCAAGATTTTGGCGAAATCGAAGGTTGCCGGATACCGAAGAAATTTCCTATGTTACTTAACATGAGAGAACCAAAACGTTTGTTTTTGTGCGCTGTGCCATAAAAGAGCACTAATATAAGCAAAAAGTGTCAAAATATACCCCTTCTAGAATCTAAAAAACGAATCTTAAGTTGATGAAAATCAGGTGAAGCTTGGTTTAAGGAATTGCATTATTTTTCAGAAACAAGGGACAATTTCAGTTTCATTTTTTGGCAACGGCTTCAGTCTCTCGTCAAAAAACGCAATAAAAAAGCTTTAACCGTAATTTTTACTGCATCAAAAAATGGGGAACCTGGACAAAAATGCGTATATTTTACCGTATACACGGACACTGAAAACAATCTTGTTAAATGTAAAGCACGTGGTATTTGTACAGTACAACTTCCCCGAAGGCGTAAGTAAGAAACGGAACAGACAGAGCATTGACAGTTTTCGAAAAACGGAAGTATATATTCTGTCAGTGTTTGGTGCATTTTAAATCTTAGAACTGACCTTAAGAACAATAAAATATGATGAAAAGTGTTCCAATATAAAGACAGGAGTATGTTCATTCATTTTCAACGAAATCAAAAACTGATCACAATTCCCCATGTTTTCTTTGAAATAACCCCGAAAAAAGTAATATGCACAAATAATCGTCAGGCTAATATTCAAGTAAAATGCTTTTTAAAGTGGTAACTTATTATGCAAAGATTTTTAATTGATCTTAGACATAAGTATGCCGGACATTTGTAATCGACGTTATTTCTGCTCGAAATAAGTTTTGATGTTTTGGACAGTTTATAAATATGCCTCACAGGGCCACTTTCATAAAGACTAGATTTCCGAAACGCCCTTTTTCAGTAAAGGCTTTTAAGAAATATTTTACCTTGAACGTGTAAATGAACACATCAATAGATGCTACATTTATGCAAGAAGGCCTGAAAACACTGAAAATTGTGAAATATTTCCGCAATATAAAGGACGATTTGAAACTAATTGTAATCAAACACCTGAAATAGCTATAAATACATTTGACAAAAGCAAAGTTCTTATAATATAGAGAAAATGATATGACTACTATTTCACCTGCGGATTTTATTGACATTTATGGGTCAAAGTTACAGCCACTGTTCACGTTTGCAGAACACGAGACTTCTATGATAAGGACTTTTGGTATTTATTTTAAGTTATAAACTCATTTAAGGTTGTTCACTAGAACCTCATAATTTTTGTACACGCGTTAGTGCCGGCTCACGAGTGATTATCAAGCTTTCGCAAATTTCTGCATTTTGCATGAGTTTGTAGGATACGAAGTAGTCCTGCCGGATAATAGAAAATAGTCAAGTCAAGTTTATTAAGGGAAATATAGGCAAACGCCCTTGAACGTATCCCAGCGGTTATAAGCTAGTAAATAACATAAGGTGTGAAAGACCAGAGTGTTATAGATAATTTAGTTAAGTGTAAAAGGAGTAGAATATGAGTACAGTAGTCGCCGGCTATTAAGCCCACGGTTAATAGGCCCAGCCGCGTA